CTGACCCCCAATGTAAGGGACATTCCCCCCACTGACCCCCAGGCTGATGTACAGTGAGCTAGATATGTTCATTATTGGCAAGGGTCCCCTGAGACCTGGAAGCTTATTTAAGGGTTCCTCCATGTTACAAAGGTTGGAGGTTTAACACATACAAGATTGTACACTCGGGATCTTTTGCTATATTATTGGCATTTAATGTTAACGATCCTTTTGCCCTAAAACTCGTAAAATTACTTGTAAAAGAAAAAAAACCCAGAAGAGTCCACGCACATGTGTGACGAAGGAATCCTGATAACCCTCATTGTAGCTCTGTGGCTTCCTCGTCTCACTTCCTTTTATTGATATGAAAAGGGGAAATGCAGTTTGCTGAGCGGTCACATGAGCCGGAGCCGCGTTCCAGAGATAAGAGGACGCAATCATCAGACCTGAAGAGACGGCTCATCACAGCACCTGCCATGGACTATCTATGGAGAATCGTCCTCTTCTCTGTCCTCGTAGCAGGTAAGATCTCTACCATTCTCCATCCTGACCTCCGTCTGGGGTCATTGAACGTCCCCTCCAATGCCTATCTACCCTGAACAGGTCGTGTTTTGCAGGGTTTGCCTCGGTGGTAATCCTTTGGTCCTTTCTGACCCGTCCTTCTACAGGACAGTCCTCTGTGTAACATCATAAAGGACAGTCTTTAATTTTCCTCCGTAACATAAGAGAGCTTTAATTCAGCAACATACAGTCCGCCTATGTCTCAGCAAGTGCAGTCTTTAGCACACCTCTGTGTGACACTCACTCCGATCACCCCCCGTGAGCACTCACACTGCACTCTCAGCAGTGTGTCCACCAGGTCTCTTGGGTCACTGACCTTCCCCAGACTCCCCTGGCTGTTCCACATGCGTCCAGCATACCCAGTGAGTCTGCTTGTGGTCGTGTGCCTCCTGCACACCACTGGCCTGGCTCGACCCTCGTCTGCCTCCTGCACTCCCACACACCACTGGCTTGGCTCGACCCTCGTGTGCCTCCTGCACTCCCACACACCACTGGCTTGGCTCGACCCTCGTGTGCCTCCTGCACTCCCACACACCACTGGCTTGGCTCGACCCTCGTGTGCCTCCTGCACTCCCACACACCACTGGCTTGCCTTGACCCTCGTGTGAATCCTGCACTCCCACACACCACTGGCTTGCCTTGACCCTCGTGTGAATCCTGCACTCCCACACACCACTGGCTTGGCTCGACCCTCGTGTGCCTCCTACACTCCCACACACCACTGGCTTGCCTTGACCCTCGTGTGAATCCTGCACTCCCACACACCACTGGCTTGCCTTGACCCTCGTGTGAATCCTGCACTCCCACACACCACTGGCTTGGCTCGACCCTCGTGTGCCTCCTGCACTCCCACACAACACTGGCTTGCCTTGACCCTCGTGTGAATCCTGCACTCCCACACACCGCTGGCTTGCCTTGACCCTCGTGTGCCTCCTGCACACCCACACACCGCTGGCTTGGCTTGACCCTTGTGTGTCTGCTGCACACCCGCACACCACTGGCTTGGCTCGACCCTTGTGTGCCTGCTGGACACCCGCACATCACTGGCTTCGCTCGACCCTCGTGTGCCTCCTGCACACCCGCACACCACTGGCTTGGCTCGACCCTCGTGTGCCTCCAGCACACACCACCAACTCCCCCCTTGAGCTCTGGTCTGGGCTCTTAATGAGGCTGCTCTCAGCCACCTGATCACCGGCAACACCTGACCCCAGGACTGGAGATTTCATCCCACCCAGAACTCTTAGAAATCTCCAGAGATCCAGATCCCGGCTACAATCCGGAAAAGATGGAAGAAACCGAAAGGCCGGCTTCTTCCCTGCAGAACTATTTTCATTCTGGAACCTCTCAGCCCCTCTGGCTGAGAGTCCTGGGTGACCGTGTTGCCAGCATACACTGTGGCATTGCCACGCACTGCCACAGCAGGAAAACCCTACAAGCATGGCCCGCTGGGTGTACTTGGGGTCCCTCGTGCAATTTCAGTTTGTCTGCATAGTAAAGCTGTGTACTCTGGTGTGTGTGGGATGGATTGCTCCATGTATGACACTGCAAATGAATCATATGGCAATCTAGGACGGACTGGAGAACAGTTGAGGTGCTATCAATCCTAAAACACCGGCAACCGATTGTTCTCGAGGGATGGAGAAGTCTTTTTTTTTTTTCCTTGTTTACTACATAGTGCAAATATGTGTACAGTCCGGACATAGCAGTCATAGGAGGCGATAGAAAATTGTATATGAGATTGTCTAGACCAATGGTGGCGAACCCTTGGCATTCCAGCTGTTTTGGAACTACAAGTCCCCATGAGGCATTGCAAGGCTCTGACAGCCACAGACATAACGCCCAGAGGCAGATGCATGTTGGGATTTGAAGTTTTGGCACAGCTGGAGTGCCAAGGTTCACCACCACTGGTCTAGACCGTAAGGTTAGCAGATGGTCAAAGAAGGTCTACGTTACACCGTGTGGTAGACTGTCACTGGTCTCAGAACGGCTCTATCCCGGAGTGTCCCAAGGGTCTCCATTGGGTTGTGAAAGTTGATGATATCTGTGCGTGTGGTGGGAGAGTGGTCGTAGGAATGTGTTGTGTGGGCAATGGGCTGGGGTGGTGGGTAAAGAGGTGAGATGGAACGGTATACTAGAAGATGGGTGTGTGAGGGGATAGGAGGTAGTGGGTAGAGGGAAAGGTGGGGGAAGGGAGGTGATGAAGGGAAGGGGTGGAACTAAGAGGGATGGGAGGTAGAGTTCATGGGGGGATGTCAAATGGCTGGCAAGGTATTGGGGACAGCAACATAGCTTTACACTTGTTCTCTTTGGCCGAGGTGGAAAAGGAGATCCATTGTATTTGCATTCAGGGAATGCTCCTTACATTGGTGGTCAGTGTACAGAATGCTCCTTACATTGGGGGTCAGTGGGAAGAATGCTCCTTACATTGGGGGTCAGTGGGAAGAATGCTCCCTAGCTAATAGGGATTTGTGGGCTGGGAATAGGTCTGTTTGATCTGGGGAGAAATGGTTTTTTAGTTCCACTTCTAATCTCTGGAGGTATGTTGTTGCGCAATCATTCATGGAGCACAGAGAGCCTTGTATTTCATAGCGAGGAAATATCTGAATGGTGCGTTGCTGACCTTTTTTAAACCCTATGAGGTTACATAGTTACATAGTTACATAGTATTGGAGGTTGAATAAAGACACAGGTCCATCAAGTCCAACCTATTGCGTGTATGTATGTGATTCTGCACGTGTATGCGTGTGTGTATGAGTCCCTGTGTAATCTTGTTTCTAAGAGTACCTGTCCCCCTGTATGTTACAGTCTCTGAGGAAGGTATCCAAATGCTTTTTGAAAGATTCAACACTCCCCAGCTGATACCACTGCTTGTGGCCGAGAGTTCTTGACTATAACCGCTCTGACTGGGAGGACTCCGCCCCTTGTGTTTAAATCTTTCCTCCACCAGTTTTAGGTGGCGGCCTCTAGTCCTTGTTATGGAGTTTATAGTAAAAAGTTTATGGCTGATGTTGCTAATGGTTCCTAGAGAGAGATGAGTGGCAGGGAATGGAGGATATAAAGGAGTAAATCTCTCCTTTCGAGACCAGGAGGAAACTCTGGGCCTCCTATGATGGGGTTAATGGGGAGGCATGTGGTGCGATACCACACAGGTGCATTACCATGGACATACCTGTTAGGGTTGTCTTTATGGTTGGGTAGTGTCTGATGGTGCTGGATACAGTAGTTCCAAGCCAGGTTAGACCTTTGTTCCCCGTTTGTATCCAGGTTTTGATGAAGGCACCAGTCTATTACGCTTGCAAGATGAGTGGTCTTGTAGTATAATGCCAAATCCGGCACTCCTATCCTTCCATGGAGTTTTGGAAGCATAACAGTTTAAAGTTTGATTCTGGGGACCTTGTTTTCGAGAAAGGCCTACGCTCTATTTCTTTCTTGTTCTTGCCCAGCTATGGGGGAAAGCTGACATGATAAAGATCCTTGGGGAAATAGAGTTGCCAACATGTTAGAGGTGCCTGACCTGGTCTGGCTGGAGCATTATGTTAAGGGCTTCAGATTTTTTTATAGTTTACTTTAAGATTGGAAAGATTCCCTATTCCCGGAACTCCATTAGGAGGTTGGGTAGTGAAGTTCCTGGGCACGCCACCTTATGATGTCCTGAGAACTTAGAGATACAACTAATGTGCGGGTGATTTCTTAATGGTGCACAGGAGTGGTCCGAGCATAAGTACAAAGGGCAACCCCGGCGAATGCCATTTGATATGGGGAATCGTCTAATCTTGCCTTGTTTATTGCAGCAGAGGGAGTTGAGTAAAGTGCAGAGATTGTTTTGTTTCACAATTTTTTTTTTTACAGCTATTTGTCTGATTCTTGTAGTAAAGCCAAAAAAACTGACCCCAGAAGTAGTATTAACGAGCTGTTACTATACAACAGTGGTTCTCAACCTTTCTAGGCCCGGGACCCCTTGGTAACATTTGCCAAGTTGTGGTGACCCCCAACCGTAAAATTTAGGGATGCACCAATACTAGTATCTGTGTGGGCTCTCGGGAGGCTATGTGGGCTCTCAGGTGGCTAGTGGGACTCTCTGTTGGCATCCAGTGGGGCTCCGTGGTGACCAGAGCGGGCTCTGAGGTGATCAAGCACTCACCTCCACTCCTCCCCTCTCTCTGATCCTCTCTGGCCACTGCTGCTGCAGCGCTATCTAGAAGTGACACTGCTGTGCTAGGAGGTGGCTGAGGAGCCTCTTACCTAGAGCAGCACAAGGCACGTGGGGACCCCCTCAACTCTGGGTTGCAACCCACTTTTGGGTCACGACCCACAGGTTGAGAACCACCGCTATACAACAATGCTACATACACAAACTACTTAGATACAGGTCAAAGAATACAAAATACAGACTGCTACAGTCATACACATACACACGCTATCTGCCCTTTTCTAGCACATGCAATGGTTTGTATGCAATAGGATACTGTTAGGGTTGTGGTGTGGGCCCGAGTTGACGAGGAGGACCTAGGGTTGCCACCTGTCCAGGATTCACCCGGACAGTCCGGATACGAATGGGCGGCGCTATTTACACATGAATAAGCTCATTCTCCCAAAAAAAATGTCCGTGTGTCGCTAGAGTGTTTGGGTTTCGCTTGAAGAAAAGGTGGCAACCCTAGGAGGACCTCCCTTGCAACCCCCGTCTGTGACCACTGGGGTTGTAGACAGTGTGCGCAGGCAGGGGGTGCACGGGTGCCGGGTGCTGATCCTGGGTCGCTATGATGAGCGGAGACCTGGCAGAGTAGTTGGCCGTACGTGAGGATGTAAACATCCAATTGGGTAGTCAGGAGGCAGACCGGATCAATAACAGGCGGGCAAAGGCAGTACAAGGGTTAAATCAGAGAAGCGTCAGGAAGCAAGCCGGGTCGGTAACAGGCGGGCAAGGCAGTACAAAGGGTAAATCCAAAGAAGCGTCAGGGAGG